TTTGCTTTTTTCCCGTATGATGTTCTTGATATCGCCCCACAACTCTTCTGGTCTTCTGTCTTTAGTGTCTAATGCATCAAATCTGTTCTTGAAATGATTTCTAAATTCAGGTAGGATATATTCAAGGTAGTATTTTATCTCTTGTGGATATGTTTTAATTTTCTTCAGCTTCAGTGTGAACTTGCAAAAGAGTAATTGATGATCTGTTTCACAGTCTGCCCCTGGCCTTGTTTTGACTGATAATATAGAGTTTTTCACTGTTTCTTCCCACAGATGTAGTCAATTTCATTTCTGTGTATTCTATCTGGTAAGGTCCATGTGTCTTTTATGTTGTTTATAAAGGTATTGCAATGAAGAAATTATTGGTCTTGCAAAATTCTGTAATGCATTCTCCAAGTGTAGCTTTTATCACCAAGGCCATATTTTCCAATGACTGAACCCTTCCTCTTTGTTTCCAACCTTTGCATTCCAATTGCCAGTAATTATCAGTACATCTTGTTTGCATGTTCAATCAATTTCAAACTGAAGAAGTTAGTAGAATTTTTCAATTTCATCATCACTGGCTTTAGTGGTTGGTCCATAAATCTAAATAATATTGATATTAACTGGTCTTCCTTGTAGGTGTATGGATATTATCCTATCATAAACAGCACTGTTCTTCGAGATAGGTCTTGAAATTTTCTTTTGGATGATGAATGTGATGCCATTCCTCTTCAATTTGCCATTCCTGGTATAGTACACCATGTGGCTGTCATATTTAAAATGGCCAATACCAGTCCATTTCAGCTCTTGAATGACTAGGATATTGATATAATTGTGTTCCATTTCATTTTTCACAGATTCCAATTTTCCTAGATTCATACTTCGTACATTCCATATTCTGATTATTAATGGATGTTTACAGCTATTTCTCTTTATTTTGAGTTGCACTCCATAAGCAAATGAAGGTCCCAAAGGCTTTACTCCATTCGCATCATCATGGTCAACTCTACTTTGAGGAGGCAGCTCTTCCCCAGTCATACTTAGCATTCCAACCTGAGGGGCTCATCTTCCGGCACTATAGCTGACAATATTCTAGTGCTCTTCATCATGTTTCAAAATTCAATATTCTAGTGGTATCTGACAGTGTTCCACTGCTATGCATAAGGTTTTCAATGACTAAGTATTCGGAAGTAGTCTGTCTATTTAGCTTCCTAGTCTGTCTTTGTCTGGAAGCTCAGCTGAAACCTGGCCACCCTGGTGTCCCTGCTGGTATTTAAAATACCAGTGGCATAGCTTCTAGAACCAAAGCAACATGCACGCCACCAGAGTACAACAAATTGAAAGGCAAGTGGTGGAAAACAATTGATATAGCTCTTAATTTTTCAACAGCAACATGGAATCCATAGTGAGATGAGGATGTATTCTTTTCTAATTGGTTTGTACAAAAAGATTCTTTCAAACAGAGGCTCCACATTTTATTTTGTGTTTAGGCTGTTTGCTTGTATCTAGAGTTTTACTGGACTCTTATACAAATGGTTAACATGCTTGAATGTAACTTAAATGTTGGAGGTTCAAGTCCACTCTGAGGTGTCTTGGAAGAAGGGACTGGCAATCTACTTCTAAAAAGAGCAGTCCTTGAAAACCATCTGGAGCACATTTCTACTTGGACACACATTGGGTTACCATGAGTCAGAGCTGATTCAACTGCAGCTGGTTAGAAAGCTACTAGAATGTTACCAGACATATGACTGACAGTTAATTAAACTTTCTTTGAACTGAATTAATGGCTGGAGTTGGAAAAACTATTAACTACTATCTCTGAAGGCCAAGGTCGGGTATTATTTACACAAGGATCTGAAACTTTCCAGTAAGTCAAAGTTAACCGTAAGGGTAGAAGTATTTTTAAATTCTCAGATCATCCCGAATCCTTTGGTGGTGCTGTAGACAGCTAACCGCAAGGCTGGTGGTTCAAATCTACCAGCTGCTCCTCAGAAACCCTACACGGGGTTGCTATGAGTTGGAACCGACTGGACAACACTTAATAACAACAAGAAGATTAACACATGTCGTCAGATGCCTCAACAATTCTATTAAACTGATCAGTGTGAAGGTGGTTTAAAACAATAGCTTTAATCCAATGACTTAATCTCCTTTATCCTGGGAGTCCTGGTGTGGCGCTGTGGGTAAATGCGCCAGACTGCAAAGCCGTTTGAACTGCAAGGTCGGTGGTTCAAACTCACCAGCTTCTCCTCGGAAACCCTATACAGGGTCACTATGGGTTGGAACTGACTCAATGGCACTTATTTCAAACCTGAGAGTGATAGTGAGGCAGACAGGACATTGTGATGGGAAAGACTTGGTGTGGAGGGTGAAGGTAAATCGTGGGACACAGCATGATGAAGAAATCACTATTGACAGCTTCAATGGTTAACTTTTTTTAGATGGTTCTAGAATAGATACCAAGTTTGGTAACGTAGAGGGTCAGAAGAAGAAGAAGAAGAAGACCCTTAGTGAGACAGATTGATAAAGCGGCTGCAGCCATGGGCTCATACATAGCAACAACCGCAAAACTGGCCCAGAATCAGGCAGTATTTCATTCTGTTGTACTAAGGGTTTCCATGAACAGGAACCACCTCAATGTCACCCAACAATAGAAGAGATGTAAACAGTGACTAATTTCCACTAATAAACCCATGGGGGCAGTGGTGACTCAGAGGTAACATTCTTGCCTTCCATCCGAGAGACCTGGGTTGAATTCCTGGTCAGTGTAACTCATGAGCAGTCTGTCAGTGGAGGATTGGGTGTTGCTAGGATGCTGAAGAGGTTTCAGTGGAGCTTCCAGGCTATGATTGGAAGTCTGCTTCTGACAATCACCCAATGAAAACCCTAAGGATCATAATGGTCCAATCTCCAACTAAACATGGACCAGGCATTGGATTGTGTATGGCATCACCGTGGGTTGGAGGCCAACTTGATGGCAGCTAACAGCAACAATAGTCAACCCATAGAAGGTGAGAAAATTGCATAAGCAGCACTTTTAAATTCATGAACAAAGGCATCCTGGTGTGGTGCTGTAGGAGGTACACTGGACCGAAAAGGTGGTTTGAACCGCAAGGTCGGGGATTCAAACTCAGCAGTCACTCCTTAGAAATTCTAACAGGGTCGAAATGTGTTGGAAACAACTCAACGGCACTTAACAACAATAACAGCATTTAGCTGAAAAATTACTCGGAAAATCTTATAATGATAAAAGAAAACTTGCACAGTCTCAACCACTTGGCAGAATCCTGGGTATTTTCGAGGATCAGGGAATTTTCAACCTTTCTTTATTAGATAAAAGTTAGCTATTTTTTCCAAACTGATATGAGAAATAAAAACTTGGCAATACTTATGCTTGGATGTCTAGGTATCTTTTCCACAGCATGTATTCAGTCTTGATCCAGAGCTGGTGGAGATTTGGGATGAGGGTTTTAGAGATCTGCCCGCCCCCACACTGGTGGCCCCCAGGAAGTCCACAGAAAGTGACAACCAAAATAACTTTAAATCGGTGAGATCTGATCAGTTATGACTTGAAAGCCTGATTCTTTTATTATTTATCACTCATTAAATGCTCTGGCTCCCCTTTATTAAATGTTAAATCATCCTAAATGGTATGGTTCTCGCTATTTGAAATGGCAAAGTGTAAGGAAAAAGGGAAAGTGGCCCATTTCCTTGTTAATGTGGCATTCAAATAAAACACAGTCAGCTCAACAGGCAGGTCAACTGGCTGCTGATGGGGACTCTGTACATTTATTCATAACACAAGAGCCATAATTAGGGAGAAATCTCTCCTTACAGCGCCACTGAGTTTGCTAAGCAGGCACTCCATTTTCCTATAAGGCATGGTTAATGAGTATATCAGAAAATGCTTGAATATACTCATTGCTCCTTGTTTTCATCTGATGACAAGTCTGATGTGCTGCCAATGGTGGTGCCAATGCTAGTACCCCACCAGTTTTGCAAGGGACCCCAACTACAATATTCACTGGCCACGTTGCTTTACTCTCCATTTATAACATTATTACTTGAAGCCACGTTAACAGGATACTTGTTAGAAAAATCCTGAACACATTTGTTGTTGTTGAGTGCCATCAAGTCAGTTCCAATTCATAGCGACCCTGTACAAGGTTTCCGAGGTGAGCTTGAACTGCCAACCTTGCAGATCAAATAGACCTTGCAGACTAGTGCAGGTACCCACAGCACCACACCAGGACTCCTTTAAACACATTGTTTTTGTTGTTGTTAAAGGTCACTGAGTTGGTTCCCAGCCACAGTGATTCTGTATAGGATTTTCAAAGAGTGGCTGGTGAGCTTGAACCACAGACCTTGCATTTAAACCAACCTTGCAGTCCAGCTAATTAACCCACAGCACCACCCCAGTACCAATAATCCTTAAATGAGGCGATGCCATGTGTGTCAGAGTAGAACTGTACTCTGGAGGGTTTTCAAAGGCAGATTGTTTTGAAGTCGATCACCAGGTCTTGCTTTCAAAGCACTCCTGGGTGGTCTTCAACCTACAACCTTTCAGTTAGCATTAAGCATTTGCACCACTTAGGGACTCCCACATTAGGAAAATGAGACATAAAACAAAACAAAATTACACAGTTAAGCCATACTTAAAAAATCTTGTTGACCACAAATCTAAATGCCTTATGTCAATATTTTTCTTCTACATTGATAGCCCATATTTTCTTTGAATTCAAATATGGAAGGTCATCTTTAACTCCATCAGACATGACAAACTCCAGGAAGGCAAGCCCATGATGTGCCTGCCTTGTTCAATACAATATCCCACCACCTTGCAGAGTGCATAGTCCCTGCTAGGCATGTGATAGTCATAGGATAAATGGATAGATTCCTATAACTAACCTTATTTGATTGTTAATAAATGATCAGTTCCACATCCTAAAGGAAGTTAGAATCAGGTGGTCAATGAGACAATACAATAGAGACTAACAAATTACAAGCTCCCCTCTTACCTCAGCTTGACTGTTTCGAATCATCTGAATTTTGGGGCACTTTTCAGCTCCAAGTGAAATATCCAGCCAGTTTCGTGTGTCATTTCGGTGCACACAATCTCCTTGAAAAGTGCAGCTACAAAACAAAACAACGACAAATAGCAACGCTGCACACGCATCCGTTAAAACTTTTTCTAGCTTGGCTTCAGTACAAAATGTCAGGCTCCGTATAGAGGGTTATTGATTTTGAGTGAGAATAGGAACATGATGCTAAAATCATGAAAAGCTACAGGAAAACAGCAGAGCATTTTCCCCATCATGTCTAGGAGCAGAGAATAAATGTAGACAACATGCTGAACTTAGACTCCCGAGCCATCTCTCAAGATGACACAGCCAAATACATCCAAATCACATCCTCTTACAGATTCTAAAATAAAGAGCTTCTGTCTAGAAAAAGATCTAGCAAGGAACTAGAAAAGATTACATATTGCATAAATTTTAGGTTTGCAATTTATTCTCAGAAGATCAGCCTATTGTATAATTTTTTTTAAATAAAAAAGTTACTTAAAAAACAACAAAAAAAGCTACTATTTTGTACTTTCAGTATGATAATTAAATAGAAATATTTCAAGGGCAAAGTCTGTCCATGAATTTGATAAGACATTCTGTAACCGTCTGCTACATAACGTTTATTTAGACAGACATCAAACAATATCAACAGATATGGATGAAATGCTTTTCAGGGCCATGTTCCCAAGTAAGTCAGTGAGCTCAGAGGATGCCCCCAAATAAATCTCAAACTATGCCCAGGGCCAAGTACTTTGATAGAGGATCAGAAGCAGAGGGGTGAGATCACAGGCTTGCTTGATGGCTGAGTCACTCTAACTTGGGAACCCTTGCCTTACCAACCTAACACGAAAAATTAATGCAAAGTGCTGCACTACTTTTACAAGTGCTGGACTCTGTGGACAGTATCTTTACGAGTATCAAAAAAAGAACAAAAAATCTTTGGTATCTATGCCTCTTCAAAGCCAAATGTTATAATGAAGGGATGAGGGAGCACCCCTGACCAAGATTTTTAAAGGAAACTGAAAATAACATGAATCATGAGATTGAACACCAACCAGATGATGACCACATTCAGATGTGGGGAATCCCTGAGGGGATCTAGTGAAATGAGCTGTGGGCCCAAACAGCAGATGTGACTTCACAGAAGTTTTATTTCTTCTTCTCTCTTACTTTTTTTTTTTTTTTTAAAGTCTTAAGAATTTAGGTCTCATTTGTCTCTGAACTCTGTGCTAATTTAAATATGGCAAAAATAGAACAGGAAGCCAGAAAGTCTCATCAAACATCAACCAATATTTCAGCATGTCATTCTATTCTAATATTGTGGGGAACCCCATTCACAGTGAATGGAAATGTGTCTGAACTCCCCTGCATCAGTGTCTGTTCCTTTCCAATATCATAACTACAAAAATTTTCATCAGCAATTCACCAAAGTCATAAATTCACCTGACCCGTGATAGCTGGCTCGTCCGTCACGGACATTAAGTTCAAATTAAACCGCCTTTCAATGTCAGGGAGGGTTTGCGATGGAGGGAAAAGGACTACTGGATGGAAAAAACACAGTGTGAGGGGGCTGGTTCCTTGTTTTGTGTCTGAAACAGGTTATGACTCTGTTAAAGTACTACCTACCTCTCATAGGCACTGTGGTTTGACATAAGCACTTCCTCTTCCCATAAGAAGAAGAAAAAAAGTCAGTTCAAGAGCGATTGCAGTGCAAATATTTTTGTAGGCTCTAATGCTGCCTGGGAGTCAAGGCCTAAGGCTGCCAAAAAAACAAGTGTAAAATATTTCATACAAATAGTGCTACAATTTGCCAATTTGTAGGCAGAAAACAGTAGTGCCATTGAATTATCACTCCCTTTTCTGAGCTCCTGTAGCATTTCGTGTCGGAACCACGCATTTTGGTATTTAATCATATGCTGCCTTGAATTACAATTTAACTGTTTCATACATCTGTCTCATTTCTTCCCAAGTAAGCTCTAAGCTCCTCAAAGGAAGGGAGAGCGCCTTTAATATTTCTTTAGCAAATCCCTCAGTGTCTGACAGCATGATATGCAAATACTAGGGTTTCAATAAACATTTGTGAATGACTAGATGAAACATAAAATCTCTATAGGTTCTTTGTGTTTGGTGATTTCTCTTTCTAGAGTTTCCTTACGATTTATGTCTGATTTCACCTCAGAGAACAGAGTCCCTGGTGGTGCAAACAGTGAAGTGCTCAACAACTCGCCAAAAGGTTGGTTGTTCAAATCCACCCAGAGGCACCTCAAAAGACAGACTTGGTGATCTGCTTCCAGAAGGTCACAGACTTGAAAACCCTATGGACAATTATCTGCATGTGGCTCACCATGAGTTGGAAAGGGCTCAACTAACAACCATGAAACAAGTTTGAATAAAAGCTAACAGAATCTGAGGTCTGAGAAGGATCAAACTAGAAATTGAGGTTTCCAGTTTATCTTTTGACAAAAAAAAAAAAAAAGAGAGAGAGAGAGACAAAAGAAAATACAGAGTGAATCTTTCATTTCCTATTTTGCATAAGGTCAAAATAAAACCTAATGACATTTAGGAACTAAATATAAACTTCCTTGTTTTAAAAACACCTCTGAAATTCTGAACTCCTATTCTTTGCCTCTCACTAGTAAAAAACAAAAAACATAAACCGTGACACCAAGTATGTAGAACCAGATGGTCAACCAACAACAGTATCTTATTACTTCTCAAATATTGCAGATTATAAAATCTTCATGACAGCACACTACCCACACATTAAAATTTCTTAAAGATGAGGAGAATATATTATAGCTTCCATATTTTGGTAAACAAATGCAGTTAGTTTGAAATAATTCCTCTGAAATCTACCATTGTATCCTTATGTATCAAGAAGAGCAACGGTCAAGTAAACAAACACACGGAAGTCAAAGCTCAAAGATGATTTCACTGCTGGTCATGACTCTTGGTGATGCTGAATTCTCAGCGAAGCATTTTCAGGCTGATTTCTTAACTGGCTTCATTTCAATTTCTTAAGGCCACGGATCAGAGGAAAATTGAATTTGGATTCGAATAAGCTCATTTTGGAGAAAATAGCAGATACATTTGCTTTCCTTACCTCCCACTATTTTCCCTGTCTCCTTCTCTTCTGAGCGTCTACCCAAAATCCCAAGACTCCCATGCACTACTTTATTTTTCTAGTTCTGATTTTCGGTTAGATCTCACACCTACATATAGGGCCAGTAGGCAGACACCAGTCTATTTGTAAATTAGAAACTAAAGCCTGATCAAATGCAAAGAAAAAGTTGCCTGAAGAAGACAAAGAAAAGCAAGAAGAAAAAGAAAAAGAAAGATTTAATTTTTAAAACTGCTTTTCTTAGATGAAAAATACTGTACTTAACTGATAAGAAGAGGGGGCCTATGCATTAGAACACCGACATTTGCAGATAGCACTCACTTGACCTGCTTTGATGATTGGATGATCAAAGCTCAACTAGAAGCAGAAAGAAGAGGAAAAAAAGAGTAATCTGATACAATTTGATGAACTTGACCTACACCTATGGATGCAGTAGCTCAAAAGAGGGAACAAATCTTTACAGCGAGGATCATTACCACCCCCTCCACACACAGAGTAGACAGGGATCGGGCAACGTGGACATTGGCTACCCAAAATGGGGGGGGGGGGGCTACAAAGGCAAGAAGTGACTGGCTTACAAGCCTTCAAGAGGGAGCCTAGATCCAAAGGGCGTGGGGGAAGGTAGACTCTCCACTGAGTAGTATCCAATCTGTCTGGGCAGGGCTGATGAATGAATATGCGGATACATATCTTGTGATACAATAGTGAATGATTTGTTATCAGGACTGATTGTGAGGGTTGGAAATGTAAAGGTAGACGTTTTGTAGCAGAAGGAGACTTTGCAGTCTAGGAGCAGAGGTCCCTAGGACCATCAAGGAAGAAGAGCAAAGAGTGGGACCCTACCCAGATGGACCCTACCCAGTGGAGATATGGACTGGCTGGGGACTTTCGACTCAGAGAGGGAGAGGGGCTGTGTGCTGATGACCAGGGGACAGGCTTGCAGGGTATATACCCTTTGGTTGGTTGATGGTACATGGAGGGGATTGTAACTATGGCAATGAAATGATATACGGTAGGATGATTGTAAAGCTAATGTTTTCCCATGTAAGTTATGTCATAATTCACAATAAAACATTTAAAAAATTACTGTACTTGAGAATAATTAGGTGAATGAAACTCCAGGGGGGAAAAAGTGTCAGTCTGCTTCCATAAAGATTGTTGTTGATATTAGGTTCTGTTGAATTGATACCGACTCATGGTAACCTTATGCACAACAGAATGAAACACTGGTCCTACACCAATCTTACAATTACTGCTACACTTGAGCCCATTACTGCTGCCACTATCCCAATCTATCTTATTGGGGTTCTTCCTTTTTTTCTCTGATTCTCCACTTTACTAATCATGATGTCCTACTCCAGGGACTGCTCCCTCCTGATAATATGTCGGAAGTATGAGAGACCAAGTCTGGGACATCCTGGCTTCTAAGGAGCATTCTGGCTGTACTTCTATAGAATTAATTTATTCAAAATGAAAGTAGAGTCCAATGTTGCCACTAACTATATAACTCAGTTGCCTCCTCACTTCTCCTCCCACATATTCCATAATTCACACACACACAGTGGTGCTCCAAACCTACCTAAGCCACAATTCATGAACACAACATCTGTTTCTACATTTGCTCTGAAAAATTCAGAAAATGTTTTCACCCAGTAGGTTTGGATCCTGAGCTTTCATGGAAGCCTATCTATTCCATAACATCCCTGAATAACTTACTCACCTCCACTGGCATGTGTGCCAGGCACTGCCAGAATGTTTACTTACTTCTTGCCTACTAGTCTCCACAACCCAGGAAGGTAGGAAATACAATGATTCCTGCTCCATAGAGGAAGAAAGTGAACCACAGAGGAATGCAATAGCATGTTCAAGTCATACAGCTGACAAGGGCAGAAAAGTCTGGCTTCAACCTACACCGATGGATGCAGTAACTCCAAAGAGGAAACAAA